AATTAAATATATCCTAAAAATGGCCAGATGAGTATGGCGCACATTCTCGAATAAGTTTACTTTGATCGCAGATTAAAATTCAAAAAGCATCTTGTTAAATTTAAGTGATTGATTAGAAAAAAAAAGAAAGATTGCGCATAATCGCATTGAGAGGTTTTCCATGATAAGTAAAATAAAATTTTAAGTAAACAATGAGTGCCCAACAGTTTAGATTGTTCAGAGTTGAAAGAAAAAAGCGTGGCATCAGATGCATTATCTGATATTTACAAGTAAATGAACAATTATGAAAACGAATTCATAAAGCAAAACGAGCCCAATACTTCAAAAAAGCCACATCTTGACCTTAATATTCGAGAAATTCCATTCTAAAGTAAATTTTTGGTCAAGAGGTGTTCGCCAAATGTGCGCACCGTACTGCACTCAGTAAAGCTATAAGGCGAGATAAATTATACAGAGGTGAATAAGGTTGATCCTTCGACAGATTAAAATAAAATTATCAAGAAAATTGCCGTTTTCCTAAAGATGTGTAATGAAATATTTAGCAAATTCATATGCAAATAAAAAGGAATTACCTTCACCGATATTAGAAGAGATGAGATAACGAATAAACTGTTTCATATTATTGTAAATAGCTCTTCCTTCTTCAACAGCGGCCACAATAGTACTAAAATTGTCATCAGCGAGAACCATATCAGAAGCTGATTTCGCGACGGCAGTACCACTACCCATTGCAATACCAATTTCTGCTTTCTTTAAAGCAGGAGCATCGTTAACGCCGTCCCCAGTCTATGAGGTAAACGAGAAAATAATATAAGAAGCCAAAGAAGGAAAACAAGTAGTAATTTTAGTGAAAAATAGGTAAATAACATTGAATGATCAATATTTTTTTAAGGACCGTTTTGATTTAACGACCACATTGACCAGAATGGATCTTACCATCGCAGATATCTCACCAGCAGCCTGAAGAAACTCGACAATCTTGCTTTTATGAGCGGGTTCCACACGAGCGAAAAGTTTTGCAGTACGAACAGCAGAGAGTTGCTGCTCTAATGAGAGGTCATCAAATTCACGTCCTGTAAAAGACTTGCCAACAGTATCCTCTCGTTCATGAAAGAGACCAATACGTCGGCAGATGGATTCAGCAGTCGCCTTGTTGTCA